CCCATGGCTTTACCAGGTCCAGATTCAAGCCGGTCGTCAACTGGAATGCAACTAGTGCACTGCAATGGACGTCTTAATTGGTCATTATCTTCTTGAGGTTATCTTGAGATGATTTCGGGGCTTTAGTGTCCCGCGGCCCGGTCCTCGACCAGGCCTCCACCCCCAGGAAGCAGCCCGTGACAGCTGACTAACTCCCAGGTACCTATTTTACTGCTAGGTAACAGGAATTATCTAGGCTAGGTAAGAATTATCAATAAATTAAAGTTAGGGATTCGCTGCTTAATGGTCATTTGTGAGTTATTTACAATGAATCATCATGCTTCATGACAGCTGGGTGGACAGCGCCTCGGATTCGTAGTCCTGAGGTTCCGGGTTCGATCCCCGGTGAAGGCGGAGACAAATGGGCAAAATGTTTCTTTCACCCTGATGCCCATGTTACCTAGCAGTAAATAGGTACCTGGGAGTTAGACAGCTGCCTGCTACGGGCTGCTTCCGAGGGGTGGAGGCCTGGTCGAGGACCGGGCCGCGTTGACACTAAAGCCCCGAAATCATCTCAAGATCATCTCTTAAAGATGCTGTATTTAACATGACAGCTTCAGAACTTTGACGATGTGTTTTCAAATTAGTGGATACTAACAGAGGGATAATTACAATCTTCTGTGTTACAATTATTACAATCTCAATAATTAATGATTATTACAATCTTCTGTTCCAATCTGTTCACTGTGAACACACTAGGGAAGATTTCCGGGCTTTGAACTTGCTTTTGTTGTTCAATGTGCTGGAGGTTTGGGAAATTGAGAGATCATACCTTGCGATGATTTCGGAGCTCAATGTCTCCTCGGCCCGGTCCTCAACCAGGCCTGCTGGTTGCTGGACTGGTCAACCAGGCTGTTGGACGCGGCTGCTCGCAGTCTGGCGTATGAATCAAAGCCTAGTTGATCAGGGATCCGAGTCTGGTTGATCAGGTATCGTCTCATGTGATTCCTTCCATTCTCTCACACCTACCTCATCCCTCTTCACACTTGCCTCACATAGCCTGGCCTCATCCCCACCTCATTCTGTCTCATCTCTACTCACTTCCTCTCCTGCTTGTTTTCCATATATATGGGAGCAAAAGTAGAAGGAATCTGAATAAGCTAAGAGCGGTTCCCTTCCTATAACTCACGGTAAGGATTACTTTACAAGATCTCTCTCTCTCTCTCTCTCTCTCTCTCTCTCTCTCTCTCTCTCTCTCTCTCTCTCTCTCTCTCTCTCTCTCTCTCTCTCTCTCTCTCTCTCTCTCTCTGCCCAACTACTTGGGGTCGACGGTAGAGCGACGGTCTCGCTTCATGCAGGTCGGCGTTCAATCCCCGACCGTCCAAGTGGTTGGGGCACCATTCCCTCCCCCCGTCCCATCCTAAATCGTTATCCTTACCCCTTCCAAGTACTATATAGTCGCAATGGCTTGGTGCTTTCCCCCTGATAGTTCCCTTCCCTTCTCTCTCTCTCTCTCACACCACAGTGCTTGTCTGTGTGGGAGAAAGGCTTGCTACATCTCTCAATGCCTCGCCCGACTCCAGCCCACAGCCAAGCAGCAATCAATCAGCCCTCATCCTGTTTACAGATAGTACTGATAGGAATGCCGTGGTCCATTGTACTTATATCGACGTAATTGACATTCTAACAAGTAGAAATTGGCACTATTGGCATTCTACATGACCACCCATATCAGAAAGGAGGAGAGGCTTTGGTATTCAGACCATTCCTAGCAGACCTGGTCACTACTAGACATTAGCCTTCTTGCATGGTTCTCCATTTTGTTCCAAATTATGATGAGTATTGCAATATTGATGAAGTTATGCAATACAGGAGAGGGGTGCACACTCATGATGGGAGCGAACTTCGTGTAAGGTTGTGCAGCGCCTGCTATCAGGAAGGTGTAATTGCGCCATAGTGCTGTACAACCCGTTCTCGTAAATTTAATAAGTCAATATTGACTTATTAAATATGTGCATAGGTGACATACTTAACATAATAGATACCCTTAAAAAGATTCATAGAAAACACCGACCTTACCTAACCTTGTTAGTATCTTAAGATAAGCATCTTATTGCTTCGTAATTACAATTATTACCTAACCTATAATAGGTATAGGTTAAGTAATAATTGTAATTACGAAGCAATAAGATGCTTATCTTAAGATACTAACAAGGTTAGGTAAGGTCGGTGTTTTCTATGAATCTTTTTAAGGGTATCTATTATGTTTAGTATATCACCTATGCACGTAGTTAATAAGTCAATATTGACTTTACGAATTTGCGAGAACGGGTTGTGCTGTAAGTTTCCTGGGCCTTGAGAGCTAGCCCGTGGCTCTTCATTGCCATTGAAGAGTCAGACTTCATTCCCAATATGTTAGTTTCATCTCTGAAATCTAGGTTTTGGCCACCCATTTCACCAGGCCTGTTCAATTGTCAATATGCAGTCTAGTTATCATTGCCTGGGTTTTCTAAGCTGCAAATGGGACTTGCCATCTACTTCCCCAGGGAGAAATTGCTGAAAGTTTGTGATTGATGAGTCTTATAGCAGTTGGCATTTCTTAATTTCAATATGTAAAGGTTAGTGTGCTGTTCTCAACATAGGCTTGAGCTTCAGGAGTGAAATGCAGTAGATCGTTGAAATTAGGATTCCACAGAATAGAGCCAAGCATGGTACCTTATCACCAGTTGAATGGCTATCGGATTCTGCACCAATGACGACATCTCTTAGGGTCCTGTTCTTGAAGATAGTCTTCTAATTAAGTCTAAGATGGAGCCACAGATACATATAGTGCTTGAAGCTTCTCTCTCTCTCTGTCTCAAACCATTTTAGCATTATATAAAAATGTTTATATCATAGTTTCCTAACCTCAATTCTTTGCCCTCTTTCATGCCTTTTTCTCAGACTTTCTCCCAGTCTCCATCCCTGCCTCCTTCCCTGCCTCCTTCCCTGCCTCCCTTCCCTGCCTCCCTTCCCTGCCTCCTTCCCTGCCTCCTTCCCTGCCTCCCTTCCCTGCCTCCTTCCCTGCCTCCCTTCCCTGCCTCCTTCCCTGCCTCCCTTCCCTGCCTCCTTCCCTGCCTCCCTTCCCTGCCTCCCTTCCCTGCCTCCCTTCCCTGCCTCCTTCCCTGCCTCCTTCCCTGCCTCCCTTCCCTGCCTCCCTCCCCACTGTGGTCAGCTCCCCACAGACGAGAGACCCAGAGGAGTTTAGTCCAGTGTGGCACTACTTTGTTCACGTCTGCATGAAGCAAGCAGCTGATGGTCCTCTCAGGGGAGTTATACTGCCTCTAAATCCTACAAAAGTTGGAGTGACACTCATGTTGTGGAGGAGGCGGAGGGAGCGGATGTTTAGGGGGCTGGGATGGGGGGATTTAGAGGGGGGATAGGAATAGGAAGAGAGAGTAGGGGAAGAATGGTGGAAGCGTGGAGGAGAAATAATAAATGTTTAGAAAACTAAGGAGGCATATTGTGGGAGAAACAGAGATTGAAAGTGTGAAGAGAGAGAGAAATAGAGATTGGGATTGGGAGTATAAATAGAGTGGTCTTAATAATAGGGATCAATAATGGGCTAGGAATAGCGGACAGAAACATCGCTAGCATAGCAATGATTCAGTGCAGATAATAGGCACAGTTAGCTATGTGGAATGAAGAGGATCAAGGGGGAAATAGATCCCTCTCCTCCCTAAATTCATTGTGACTCTTAACACTGCTTTAGGGCAGTGAGTAGTGGGAATGGGGGTTGACAAGGCTGTTAGAGACGGGAGCGACACTACTCCAAGTTAAAGACTTGGGTAAATACTGGTTCAGTAACAGGGTTGTTGATTTGTGGAACCAATTGCCGCGTAACGTGGTGGAGGTGGGGTCCCTCAATTGTTTCAAGCGCGGGTTGGACAAGTATATGAGTGGGATTGGGTGGTATTATAGATAGGAGCTGCCTCGTATGGGCCAATAGGCCTTCTGCAGCTACCTTTGTTCTTATGTTCTTATCATGCTTCTCCTCTCCCAGGGTTGGTACAGAAATAACAAATTACCTAAAAGCTGCTTATCCTAAGATCTCTGATTGTGAATCACATTATATTTTAACCAAGGCAGGTACAAGAGTAGATGACTACTGAATCCTGTTGGTAAACTTAGAGCCTACCCTTCCCATAGTTCCTTGTGACCCATCTGCAACTAGATGCGCCTGAAACACGACCCACTAAGCGTTTTACAACCAGTTCCCCCAGTTATTGCTGGGTGACTGGAGCAAATAATTAAGGATTGGCGTCAAGTCGTGGCTAGAACCCAAACGACATCATTCGCCAAGGCGTCGTATATATATGCTATCATTTATGATATAATAAGTCCCCATTTGGTCCAAAGTTTATGCTTGGGGGTTAGTTCCCAGAGGGTTCTTGCCTCAGCAACCTTGATAATAGCTGCAATATTAATACCATTGCAACACAGAACACTTGTTGGAAGACCAGTGAACCTGCATAGTCACTTAAACATCAGCCTTATCCCCTCTGATTCACACACGTCACGGCACTGTGAGAGATTAGTAAACCAGATATAGATTATTCTACTTTCAAAATCCTAGCCAGGAGTCAGGCTTCCTAGTGACAACATGATTAGAAAAAAACTGTTGCACTCAGCATCCAGCAGGACTCACATACCAATCTCAACCCAGTATACCAAGGTTTATAAGGCAGACTCACTTATATCAGTAAATATATTCATTGTATACTGTTAATGGTGGATTACAATAGATGACACTAAATTATAGAGCAGTTGACTATAATTGTCTTCTCTACCGGACGCGGATCACGGGATTAATCGGATTAATCACGCTTGAATCGCCATCTCTTGAGATTAATTAAGTTGTGACGGGAACGATGCGAGATTTTTGTTTTACATGTGATTGGAACGCGTAATTTTAATGGAATTTAATCATGTGATTTACACGAGTGATTTACACGTGTAAGTTACTTATTCGTTTGATGCAGGAGTGACCTTCCCTACACACTGCCAGCCTCCAAGGACCCTCCCTACAAACTCCCAGCCTCCAAGGACCCTCCCTACATACTGCCAGCCTCCAAGGACCCTCCCTACACACTACCAGCCTCCAAGGACCCTCCCTTCACACTGGCAGCCTCCAAGGACCCTCCCAACACATTCCCAGCCTCCAAGGACCCTCCCTACATACTACAAGCCTCCAAGAACCCTCCCTACATACTGCCAGCCTCCAAGGACCCTCCCTACATACTGCCAGCCTCCAAGGACCCTCCCTACATACTGCCAGCCTCCAAGGACCCTCCCTACACACTGCCAGCCTCCAAGGACCCTCCCTACATACTGCCAGCCTCCAAGGACCCTCCCTACATACTTCCAGCCTCCAAGGACCCTCCCAACACACTACCAGCCTCCAAGGACCCTCCCTACACACTGCCAGCCTCCAAGGACCCTCCCTACATACTACCAGCCTCCAAGGACCCTCCCTACATACTACAAGCCTCCAAGAACCCTCCCTACATACTACCAGCCTCCAAGGACCCTCCCTACATACTACCAGCCTCCAAGGACCCTCCCTACACACTGCCAGCCTCCAAGGACCCTCCCTACATGCTACCAGCCTCCATGGACCCTCCCTACATACTACCAGCCTCCAAGGACCCTCCCTACATGCTACCAGCCTCCAAGGACCCTCCCTACATACTGCCAGCCTCCAAGGACCTTCCCTACACACTACCAGCCTCCAAGGACCCTCCCTACACACTACCAGCCTCCAAGGACCCTCCCTACACACTGGCAGCCTCCAAGGACCCTCCCAACACATTCCCAGCCTCCAAGGACCCTCCCTACACACTACCAGCTTCCAAGGACCCTCCCTACACACTGCCAGCCTCCAAGGACCCTTCCTACACACTGCCAGCCTCCAAGGACCCTCCCTACACACTGCCAGCCTCCAAGGACCCTCCCTACACATCGCTAGCCACCAAGGACCCTCCCTACACACTGCCAGCCTCCAAGGATCCTCCCTACATACTGCCAGCCTCCAAGGACCCTCCCTACATACTACAAGTCTCCAAGAACCCTCCCTACATACTACCAGCCTCCAAGGACCCTCCCTACACACTACCAGCCTCCAAGGACCCTCCCTACATACTACAAGCCTCCAAGAACCCTCCCTACATACCAGCCTCCAAGGACCCTCCCTACACACTACCAGCCTCCAAGGACCCTCCCTACACACTACCAGCCTCCAAGAACCCTCCCTACATACTACCAGCTTCCAAGGACCCTCCCTACATACTACCAGCTTCCAAGGACCCTCCCTACACACTGCCAGCCTCCAAGGACCCTCCCTACACACTGCCAGCCTCCAAGGACCCTCCTCACATGCTGCAAGCCTCCAAGGACCCTCCCTACATACTACCAGCCTCCAAGGACCCTCCCTACACACTGCCAGCCTCCAAGGACCCTCCTCACATACTACAAGCCTCCAAGGACCCTCCCTACACACTACCAGCCTCCAAGGACCCTCCCTACACACTGCCAGCCTCCAAGGACCCTCCTCACATACTACAAGCCTCCAAGGACCCTCCCTACACACTGCCAGCCTCCAAGAACCCTCCCTACACACTGCCAGCCTCCAAGAACCCTCCCTACACACTACCAGCCTCCAAGGACCCTCCCTACACACTACAAGCCTCCAAGAACCCTCCCTACATACTACCAGCCTCCAAGGACCCTCCCTACACACTGCCAGCCTCCAAGGACCCTCCTCACATACTACAAGCCTCCAAGGACCCTCCCTACACACTGCCAGCCTCCAAGAACCCTCCCTACACACTGCCAGCCTCCAAGAACCCTCCCTACACACTGCCAGCCTCCAAGGACCCACCCTACACATCGCTAGCCACCAAGGACCCTCCCTACACACTGCCAGCCTCCAAGAACCCTCCCTACATACTACCAGCCTCCAAGAACCCTCCCTACACACTGCCAGCCTCCAAGAACCCTCCCTACACACTGCCAGCCTCCAAGAACCCTCCCTACACACTGCCAGCCTCCAAGAACCCTCCCTACACACTGCCAGCCTCCTAACCTGCCCTCTGAAGCGACTGCATCCCGTGTCTCAGTCAATTTTGATTCAATTACTAAGTTCTGCCTTTTGATCTGTACCGCTGTCCTTGTGGCTCTGTCCCCTCGCTGCTGTCTCTATGCTTTCATTCTAGTCGTTTTGTTCATTTTTTCCTTTCTGTCTCTCACCTCATCCTTGTCGGTCTGTCTGTCTGTTACACAAGCTCTCTGTCTAGAATCTCGGGGTTTCTTGCTCTCTCTCTCTCTCACATCACTTATCTATCTATATTTACCGCTCATTTTCTCTGTCACCTTCTGGGCTCTCGAGAGCTCTATATACTTTCAAGTGAGGGGGAGAAAATGAGAGATAGGGGCGTGTGGAAGTGAAGCTAGTGAGGGAAATAGAAAGATGAAGAGATAAGAGGAGAGAGAGAGACGCCCAGACAGAAAGACACAGGGAGGAGAAGGCCCAATAGCCACCACAGTCCAGGCTCGTATTGTCTTGTTCTGCAACTCAAAAAAACCTTCAGGCTCTCTCTCTTTGTAAAGGCTGGCTGTGTACAGGAGGTGGAGGCTGAGCTGCCACTCAACGAAGATGGTCCTCGACTCCTGTGGAGCTTATCCTCCAACATTACTCTCAAGTGAGAGAACAACATGAGAGACGGAGAAGCGTTTGGCTCTTCCCATCTTCCTCGTAAGCAGGAACTGCATCTTACTGTCTTCCTCGTAAGTAGGAGAAGCATCTTCCTGTCTTCCTGCGGAAGATTTCTTTTATACCTTCCATAATGTCGTTTCAGTAGGAATTACGGCTCTATGTCATTCTGGTACGCTGCTGTGTATTCATTTAAATCTTTGCCAATGTTGTTTTAAAGTGAACTTGAATCTTGCTTAAAAATATTACACAAATCTACGGGTTAAAATAGTATTTCATCTCTAGATTCTCACGTTGATTTGAGAGTATTAGATGTTGGAATGTTGCTTCACGATTTATGGATCTCTTACATTAACCAGCCTTTGGCCCACCAGTTCATCAGGGGCTTGGCCCTCCAGTTCATCAGGGGCTTGGCCCTCCAGTTCATCAGAGGCTTGGCCCACCAGTTCATCAGAGGCTTGGCCCTCCAGTTCATCAGGGGCTTGGCCCTCCAGTTCATCAGAGGCTTGGCCCTCCAGTTCATCAGGGGCTTGGCCCACCAGTTCATCAGGGGCTTGGCCCTCCAGTTCATCAGGGGCTTGGCCCACCAGTTCATCAGGGCTTGGCCCACAAGCCCACCAGTTTTCTGTAAGAGGGTGAATTTTTCCAGCTAACTTGAGGTCAGAGTTGTGGATCCTCTTGGGTAGGAAAGAGCAATGGACCTGTCTTGTGTGTTTTTCGCTGTGTTAATGTTTAGCTTTCGTCTCTTTGGTGTTTTTCTCTCTATTTTATCTTTGGATTTCGTCTCTTTTCTGCCTTTCTGTATGTTTGGATATTCCATATATGGTTGGATGTCTAACGACACCCTTAGGGTCATTAGTCATTGAGGGAATGGGTGATTAAGACGAAGAACTTGCAAGTAAAAGTGTATTTGATATTGACCAGACCACACACTAAAAAGTGAAGGGACGACGACGTTTCGGTCCGTCTTGGACCATTCTCAAGTCGATTGTGATGAGAGGAAGGTTGACTGATAAAGATTAAGCCACCCAAGAGGTGGCACGGGCATGAATAACCCGTAAATGAGAGGAAGGAGGCAAAGGCAATAAATAGGCAAGAGAGAGGTGAGGAGAAGAAAATCTTAGAGGAAGAAATGCAAGGCAAAAGATACGAAAGGATAAGATGTAATAAAGGAGGATAATAATAGGAATAAGAAAGGGATCGTACGAGAAAACAAGGGAAATGAAAATAAAGAAGGAAAGAGAAAGAAAGATAAATGGAAGGGAAAGCTTATGTTAGGTTGTTAGGTTTGGTCGACATATTTCAACCACGTTACTGTGACTCCTCGTCTGTATTTGAAGACAGTTCGGCACAACTAGAACTCCAGTACAGTCACTAACATTGGGATAATTGTCTGAAGGTATCATTTCAGGCTCTAACTTCAACGAGGTGCCCTTGGTAAGTGTGTCGTTGTTCTGGTGAATTACTGTTTAAGGTAACGCTTGCAAGCGGCTGGCATGGACACTTAACCCACCAGCCCTCAACCCACCAGCCCTCAAACCCACCAGCCCTCAACCCACCAGCCCTCAATCCACCAGCCCTCAACCCACCAGCCCTCAACCCACCAGCCCTTAAACCCACCAGCCCTCAAACCCACCAGCCCTTAAACCCACCAGCCCTCAACCCACCAGCCCTCAACCCACCAGCCCTCAACCCACCAGCCCTCAAACCCACCAGCCCTCAAACCCACCAGCCCTCAACCCACCAGACAACAGGACTTTGGCCCACCAACACACATAAAGGCAGCTTGTCGACACTCGTAAGCTCCGACAGAATAATAACATGACTCAAATTTTAACTCCTGAACCTCGCAACCCTTGAAGCAAGGCTGATAAGTGGTGGCCATGGCCACCAGGCACTGGGTACTGCTCAAGTGGTTGATAATGTGTTGTTCTGTGCTCAACTACTGCGCCGTGCCCAGCTGTGGGCACTGGGCACTTTCTTTACACTGCTCTCATTCTCTTCCTTCCTTTTTTCCCTTCCTCATCACTACTTATCACCTTTTTTCTTCCTATTCCTCCTGCCTCTCTCAGCTTCCTCCTTCCTTGCCTTCTTGCATCTTAATACACCATTTTGCCTAACCTATTTACGTAGATCTGGTGTGTTTTTGTCTGTTTTTCGCATGTGATTTGGGTCTTTCTGTGTGTTTTGTGTGTGTGTGTGTGTGTGTGTGTGTGTGTGTGTGTGTGTGTGTTTGGTGTTCAGTCCTCGACTGTCTTTTGCGTGTCTCTCCCTATGTTTTATGTTTGGTTTTCGTGTGTTTTGTGTGCGTGTGCTTTTCGTACTTTCGTGTCTGCGTCGCGACATCTGTATACATGTTGGGTGTGTGTGTGTGTGTGAGTGTGTGTGTGGGTGTGGGTGTGTGTGGGTGTGTGTGTGTGTGTGTGTGTGTGGGTGTGTGGATGTGTGTGTGTGTGTGTGTGTGGGTGTGGGTGTGTGTGGGTGTGTGTGTGTGTGTGTGTGTGGGTGTGTGTGTGTGTGTGTGTGTGTGTGTGGTGTGTGTGTGTGTGTGTGTGTGTGTGTGTGTGTGTGTGTGTGTGTGTGTGTGTGTGTGTGTGTGTGTGTGTGTGTGTGTGTGTGTGTGTGTGTCCATGGCTCTATAGAGCAGGTAATTATCGCGTGGTTTCTATGTCATTTCTCTGGATGTTCTCTATTACGTATAGGGATGTTCTCTAACTAAATATTGTGTTATTTAAGTTAATATGTTGTTTTCAAGTTCATCATAATGTTAAGTTAACGTAGTGCTCTGTAACATAATGTTCTTTAATTTAATTTGATGATTTGTAATGTAACATGATATTTTAACTTACATGATGCTCTCTAACTTAACATGATGTTATCTAACTTAACATGATGTTATCTAACTTAACATGATGCTCTCTAACTTAACATGATGTTATCTAACTTAACATGATGTTCTCTAACTTAACATGATGTTATCTAACTTAACATGATGCTCTCTAACTTAACATGATGTTATCTAACTTAACATGATGTTCTCTAACTTAACATGATGTTCTCTAACTTAACATGATGTTCTCTAACTTAACATGATGTTCTCTAACTTAACATGATGTTCTCTAACTTAACATGATGTTATCTAACTTAACATGATGTTATCTAACTTAACATGATGTTCTCTAACTTAACATGATGTTCGCTAACTTAACATGATGTTCTATAGCTTAACATGATGTTCTATAGCTTAACATGATGTTATCTAACTTAACATGATGTTCTCTATCTTAACATGATGCTCTCTAACTTAACATGATGTTCTCTAACTTAACATGATGTTCTCTAACTTAACATGATGTTCCCTAACTTAACATGATGTTCTCTAACTTAACATGTTCTGTAATATACCATTATTGGCTCTAACTTAGCATGCTGTTATCTCACTTGCTGTCCTCCAACTTAACATGAGTTCTCTAACTTAACATGAGTTCTCTAACTTAACATGATGTTCTCTAACTTAACATGATGTTCTCTAACTTAAGATGATGTTCTCTAACTTAACATGAGTTCTCTAACTTAACATGATGTTCTCTAACTTAACATGATGTTCTCTAACTTAACATGATGTTCTATAGCTTAACATGATGTTATCTAACTTAACATGATGTTCTCTATCTTAACATGATGTTCTCTAACTTAACATGATGTTCTCTAACTTAACATGATGTTCTCTAACTTAACATGATGTTCCCTAACTTAACATGATGTTCTCTAACTTAACATGTTCTGTAATATACCATTATTGGCTCTAACTTAGCATGCTGTTATCTCACTTGCTGTCCTCCAACTTAACATGAGTTCTCTAACTTAACATGAGTTCTCTAACTTAACATGATGTTCTCTAACTTAACATGATGTTCTCTAACTTAACATGAGTTCTCTAACTTAACCAATTATGTTCACTAGCTTGACATTATGTTCTCCTAAACAGCTTATGTTAGTAGTTAGGAAAGTCTGAGTAAGTTCGAGTAAGATTACCATACTTCCAAGTTATTAATTACCAGTTTCTCTTGAGCTTAAATAACTTCGAGCGAGTGACAGTAACTAATTACCGGTGGCTCATTTTTCCTCATCATCTGAGGTAGAAATTATAAGGTTATATCGAAAATTAATTGATTTTTCTCCCTCATCTGCAGATAATAGCTCGGGTGATGGCTTCTATGAGGGCTAGCCCCCTCTCTCTCTCTCCTCTAATAGAGTCTCTGATAGTGTAGAGGGGAAACCCATTATCTGTCTATATGAGAATCTCGTAATGGAGGTACCTGTGATTGGCCTTCTGGTAACATGCAAAAAGTCTGTGAATCTTTTTCTTGAT